CTCCCGCGAAAGGGGCCGAGTGCAATACCCCCCCGCCGCTCCCCTTAGAAGTGCTGAAACCAGCGAATCGCCTGAGACATCCTCCAAATCTGCTCCGAAAGCGAAACATGTTGGAAGAGAAAATGGCCAAACCGCCTGAGACATCCCCACAAACTCCCGCGAAAGGGGCCGAGTGCAATACCCCCCCGCCGCTCCCCATAGGAGTGCTGAAACCAGCGAATCGCCTGAGACATCCTCCAAATCTGCTCCGAAAGCGAAACATGTTGAAAGATAAAATGGCCAAACCGCCTGAGACATCCCCACAAACTCCCACGAAAGGGGCCGAGTGCAATACCCCCACGCCGCTCCCCTTAGGAGTGCTGAAGCCACAGAATCGCCTGAGACATCCTCAACATCAGTGTGTGTGAGTCATCCGATGAGTGGACCTGAGTGAGTGTAGTGAATGTATGAGTACAAGTACGAGTGAGTCTGAGTGATGAGTGAGTGTGAGTGATGAGTGAGTCTCAGTGATGAGTGAGTCTGAATGATGAGTGATGAGTCTGAGTCATGATTGAGTCCGAGTGATGAGTGAGTCTGAGTGATGAGTGAGTCTGAGTGATGAGTGGGTCTGAGTGATGAGTTAGTCTGAGTGATGAGTGAGTGGGTCTGAGTGAGAGGAGTAGTGTGTTCTCTCTCCTCCGGCGCGGTCCGCCAATAACAATAACCCCATACTTAGGATATGGGGAATGACAAAACAGCATTGGGATAATTTATCGTCTTCTTTCCCTTATTGTTTTCTGACAAGGGGGGTCAGAAATCCGCCGACCTGGTCGGCGTGCGGAAGTCGCTCTTCCGTTCGTCGTCGTCGTCTTCGCCTTCGCCGTTCCCCCCTTCCCCAGGCCCTCCTCCTCAAGCGCGCCAGCCGAAGCGAAATCAAGCAACGTCGTAGTTCAGTTGAAGGGACCCTGGGGGATTGCAGGCACCAGCATCCGAACCCTGACCCCACCAACCACCGACTCTCCTGAGTCGGCGGGAGGCGGGCCTGGAGCTCGGAGCCCGCCCCTCGGCATCACGCAGGAGGGACCCTGGGGCAAGAGGGGCCTCCGGTGCGCGGCTTTGCGAGGTCGCGGGGGGGGATCCCGAGGGGGGGTCCGGGGTCAGAGTGCGATCCCCCCTCGGGGGTGCTGGGCTCCAAAAGGACCCCAAGACGGCCCAGAGTCCCGCAAGAAGCCCCCGAGACGGTCCAAGAGAGCCCCGGATCGCCGAACTATCGGTCCAAGGCGCCCAAGATGGCATCCAGACTGCCCAAGGGGCTCCAAGGCGCCTCAAGAGGCCTCCAAGAGCAGTCCCCAGAGGGCCCCAAGAGGCGGAGCCAATAGATGTTCCTTGGATGTTTGAAAGGTGTTGGCGTTCTCGCCTTTCCCGCTTCACGACGCTCCAAGAAAGCCGAAGAGGCTCCCAAGATAGCTCCAAGACTGCCCAGGAGGCCTCCAGGAGGCCCCCAAACGGCCCATGAGGGCCTCAAGACGGCCCAAGACGTCTCCAAGACCGCCCAATTAAACTCCCAACGAACGAGCGAACGACACGCTCCGTCGGCCTGGAGGCCGTCCCGAGACGGGTGGCGCGGCGGCGCCTCCAGCGCCCTCGGTTCTGGCACTCGGCAGCTGATTCCAGCCAGCGCTTGCACTGCCCACCATTCGGGTCGGGCGAAATGGGGGGATAGCAAAGGGGGGGTTTGAGAATCAGCTCGCGTAGCTGATTTTCCCGGCGCCTCCCGGCGCCGGAGGAAGCTATGTATCGAGGAATGAGCCCCTCGGTGAAGCCGAAACCGGCTGCATGCAGCAAATTTCGTAACCCCCCCTTTCCCAATCCCCCCCTTTCGTCCGGCCCGAACCATGCCGCCGGACACGGTTCTCTGGTTCCCAATTGCAAGAAGTCTGTGCCCACGACTCGCTGTCGGTGCGCGTGCGTCCAAGCCAGCGAACTGCCGCTTGTCGGCGTTCTGCAACCCAACCACACAACTTCAAGCGTGCTACCCGTTGTTCAGCTTCATGCGTTGCCCTTTTCGTCCGTTCGACCCACGGCACTAGATCCATGCCACAATCGAGCGAGGCAGCGCTGGAAGATGAGGATGACCATGACGACGAAGATGTAGAAATTGACTGTTGCTTCTCTCTGCGCCTGGCCGGCCGGATAATCATTCTTAGCTTCCAGACGGGGGATCCGAACAGAGATTTCGAGCCCTCGGCTCCGAGAGGCTCCCAGGAGGCCCCCAGAAGGCCCCAAGAGGCCCCAAGAGGCCCCCAAGATGCCCCCAGGAAGCCCCAAGACGCCCCCAAGAGGCTCCCAAGAGGCCCTCAAGAGACTCCCAGGAGGCCCCAAGACTGCTTCCCAGCAGCTCCCGAGAGCGCTCAGAAGAGACCGCCAGAAGCATCCCTGAGATTCTAACCCACGTCAGCGTCGTCATCGTCGCCGCCGCCGTCGTCGTCCCCCTTCAGAGTTGGCGGCACCGGCCGTGAAACCTTCGCAATTTCCTGTCCTGCACTGCCTGGCCCAACCGCGTACTGTTTTGTCTTGTCACCCACGATGCGGGAAAAAAAACAATTCGTTCCTCCTGGGCGGAGGGAGCTGGTGGCTGTGCAAGTACACGGCGAACTGTAGCAAGCACAGACTTTCCGGAGGCCGCGCGGACTTCTTGGGTCGGCGCTGGACCCTCCTCCCCTTGCGCGAGAAGCGCGCCGATGGCGGCCCTGGCGCCGCCAGGAGGTCCGGGGCTCAGCCCCGGAAGTCTGCCCAAGCCGTCCGGCAGCAATCACACAAAGGTCTTGGAGCGCCCCTGGACCATCTCGGAGGCCTCGTGGACCGCTGGGGGAGCGCCTCCGAAAGCAACGGCTGCGCCCCTCGCTCGCCCTGGCGCGCGGAGCCCGCGACCGCGGCGCTCTTGAGTCGCTGGCACGGAGCCCGACTTCGCGCTGTCCAGGACGGGGCGCGGGCGGGCGGCGCCCCCCCCCCCTCCCTCCTCCTCTCTTCTCCTCCTCCTCCTCCTCCTCCTCCGCCTCCTCCTCCTCCTCCTCCTCCTCCTCCTCCTCCTCCCCTCCTCCTCCTCCTCCTCCTCCTCCTCCTCCTCCTCCTCCTCCTCCTCCTCCTCCTCCTCCTCCTCCCCCTCCCCGCCCCTAGCGTTGGCGAGTCGGCCAAGCAAGTTCGCAAAAAACAATTGCAATGCGCAATTCGGGCTGCTGCTGCCGCTGCTGCCCAGCGGCCATGTAATGGCGGCTCCTTTTCGCGGTCCTGCAGGGAGGTTTCCAGCAAGGACTCGCAAATCAGATGCCTGGTGGGGTTTGCACCGCTGCAGGAGGTGCGCTGCAGGGCCTGCGTCTGGCCTGAAACATCAGCGCTACTGCGCCTCACCAGCGCTACACAGCGGGCCAGAAGCCTCGGACAGCTCGAACCATGGCGCAGGAACCGAATCACTGGCGTCCGCCCCGGGATCACCTTGTCTGCATGCGCACTGCCTCTCCCCTCACTATGGCATCAAGTCTCTCCGTGACAAGCCTTATGTTGCTCCCGGCGTACTTGAGGACCACATCCCAAAAATATGTTCGAGCACCCAGAAAAGTGTCGAAAGAGTGTCGAACCAGTGTCGGACGAGTGTATCCCAGGGCCCGACACGTGAAAACCCTAGAGTTTCGGTACTTGTCTGGTGTTCGAAATTCCTTCTTGTGAACAAGGCTAAAGTAGGTTGGGACATCATAAGACAAACCCTGTCCTCTCGGTGTGGGCGAAGGCGGGAACAGCAAAGGGGGAATAGCAGATCCGCTGCGTGAAGCTGGGTGGTCTCGCGCCTCTCAGCGCCGAGAGCCACCCATGTGTGGAGGACAGTTCCTGAAGATGGGGCCAAGATCAGCTACACGCAGCAGATGTTGGAGGCCTGGAAATGGGCACCAACACCAACACAGGGGGTTGCCTCAACAGGGGGAAGATGATCGTAGATTTCGGTGTTGGTTGTGATATTTCGACCACCTTGGAAGCCCGAATATTACCACCATCACCGAGATCGGGATCGTCTTCCCTCGGTGAAGGCACACCGCCGAAATTGGTGTTGGTGTCAACCTCTAGGCCTGCGAAGATTTCCTCTTTGCCTCCCACCCTCCCCATCCAGGCCAAGAATCAGTCCTCATCTCTCCCCGCCGACCGACCCTGTCTTCTCGATCTGCCATGCGGCCAACTGGTCATGCTCGTCGGGAGCCGAGGTGATGCGGTGGCCGGTATAGGCTAACTTTCCGCAATGCCCCGCCCACGCGACAAACAGGTGGTGTCACGCAGACTAGAAACCAATTCTCACCGTGCACAGCAGCGGTGAACGCATCTCAGAGACTTACCGCCTCAAAGCCCTCTCAGAGACAGCGCCTCAAAGCCTGGATGGCACAAATATTCATTGGACGATTTGCAATGTAGTTACTACGCATGTCGAAAAAAAATCGCCTGGATGACGACGATCCGCTGGACGAGGAGCACGAGGGGGAGAAGGACTGGCTCATATTCAACAAGAAGAGGAGACGAACAGAGAGCTGAGTTCCTTTCGCTGTGGGGGCAAGAAGAGCGGGGGGTGCTCGTGTAGAAGCACTCCCCCCTGGCCACGCACCACAAGCCAAACCGCTGTTCGATGCCAAATCCAACCTGCGAGCGGGACTCAGCACCGGACTTGCCTGGAGACCAGGGGACTGGCACTGCGAAAAAAAACAAAGCTTCACGTCCGTGTAGAAGAGGGGCGAGCAGCACAAGGGGGGAGAAGCATGGCGCACAAACCTGGCGCGGATAAACGCTAGCGCGGGAAAAGCGTGGAGCTGCGACCCGCAGGCGGGAGCTCTGGCAATCCGGCGCAAAGGAACGTAAAAAATCTTGGCCCTCCCCAGCGGGCCCTGTCACCGACCCACGAATAGAAGAAGGAAACACAGCATAACATAAACTGTTGGCGCCAAAAGCTCACGTTTGTGCTGTTTTCCTTCTTCGAATGAAGACGCTCAGGCTGCCAACGTGGTGGTGCTGCCGGCGCGCGGGTGCCGCTTCCAGTACTTCTTGATCGCCCGGGTGGGCGCGGGGAAGGGTACCTCGGCACGCCCGCGCAAGGAACGAAGCGACATGGGGGCGACGCCCAGCATTAGGTCGGGCATGTCCTCCTAAAGGCGGATTTCGGAAGAAAAATAACAACTAGTCATAGTGGCCAAGTTGTCCCCTGACTATTTGACTATTCTTGAATACTCCTCCTGTAGAGGGGCATGCCCGAGTTAAGCCCAGCAGCGAATGCTGCTCAAGTGCCGACAACGGCCGCTGCTGCGCAGGCCGCGCATGCTTCTGAGGGACACCGCCCGCGACGACACCGACAGCGAGCCCTATTCTTAGGTCAGGCATGTCCTCCTACGGGGCGGATGTTGGAAGCAACGCCAAAAAAAGTCTGTCACAAAAGAATCGAAAGAGCACAAAAAATCGTCCCCAGACTATTTGTTCGACTATTCTTGAATATTCCTCCTGTAGAGGGACATGCCCGACTTACCCCGATTCACAACGGACAGCGAGCTGCCGTCGGTCCTCGTCCCCATTCTCTCCGTCGACATTTCGATCCCCCCCGAGCACCTGATTACCATTTGAGAAAATCGCTGGCTTCCATGCCTCGGGAGCGTCGTCCCTCATGACGGTCAAATTGCGATAGACACGGACGTTGCTCTCGAAGCCCTGCCGGCCACCCCAGCACACAGCGCATGTCTTCGAGCTCTTCCTGGGCCACGCTTGGAAGCCTTCGAAGACGTGGAGGAGACCGATGGCGGCCTCGGGATCGACCGCGTTCACGAACGCGTAGCCGAGCGCCTGGTTCGTGTTGAAATCGATGGGCATGTAGACTAGGTCAAATTTGCCTCGAAATCCGTGCGAGTTCAGGAGCTCCACGAACATGTCCCGTGTGAGGAGGTACGGCACGTTGCGGAACAGCAGCGTGGTGCGCCTCTCGGCGCCCGAGGACGACGGTGGCTCTCCCCTCGGCGCCTCGGGGCCTGCCGACGGGGGATGCAGCGCCGGCGCCGACGACGACCTGCCGAGCATCGTCTAACCGATCCCTATCCCCACGGGCGTGGCCCGGGCACCACTGGCCGAGTTGCCTCCCTTGCTAGGGGATATGGGCTGCTCCCTTCGAGTTTCGAGGCGCACATCCCCAGCTGGGGTGGTGGGATGGTGGGGATGGGGATGGGGGTGGGGATCGGCTACATGGTACTAGCCTGCGGAGCAAGGTGCCGCTCTCTTCAAGCAGCTCGCAGTCGATGAAGGTGTTCTTGACGACCATCCTAGGGGGCCACATGCGGACCCTACCCCTACCCCCCACGATTCCTGAGGGGGAGGGTGGGGTTCACTTCGTTCCGGAGCTCCCGAGCGAAGTGAACCCCACCCTCCCCCTCAAAACTCGTGGGGGGTAGGGGTAGGGTTCGCATAGGGACCCCTACATCCTCACGCCCCGCTCCGCAAGCTGCGGGAGCTCCGCGCCGCGCCAGCCGTTCGCGCTGCCGTCGGAGGCGCTGGCGTAGACGGTGCTCGCGTCCTCGGAGTCGTGCCGCTCCAAGCCGGTGACCTTGTCGTCGTGGGAGTCGCCTTGAGGGGGGGAGGAGGAGGATGAGGATGAGGATGAGGATGAGGATGAGGAGGAGGAGGAGGAGGAGGAAGAAGAGGAGGAGGAGGAGGAGGATTTTTGCTGTGGACCGCTGCCCGTCGAGCTTCCGAAGAGATTGCCAAGCAGATGAGGAGGAGGAGGAAGAGGAGGAGGAGAAGGAGGAGGAGGAGGAGACGGATGAGGAGGACGAAGGGGAGGAGAAGGAGGAGGAGCAGGAGGAGGAGGAGGAGGAGGAGCAAGAGGAGGAGGAGGAGGAGGAGGAGGAGGAGGAGGAGGAGGAGGAGGAGGAGGAACGGCGGCTCGCCGTGAGCGCAGCCGCCCAGAGTCGGCCGGGGCTGGTCGCGCGCTGCGGGAGGCAGCTTCCCCCGCGGCTCCGGCAGGGCCATCCACACGGGCTCCATCAGCTTGGCCCAGCGCGGCATGGCGGACGGGCTCGGCAGGGCGGCCGGGGAGTCAGAGCGTGGCGCGGTGGAGGCTCGGATATCGCGAGTCCCTGACCAGAAAATGTTCCTCGGCCCGCATGCGGCTGGCCCCTGGGAGGCCCTTGGCCCTCGATGTGGTGTCCCGAGGTGTCCCGTGGTGTCCTATGGTGTCCCGTTGAGTGAGATCAGTAGTGAGATCGATAGTGAGACCGATAGCGAGATAGAGAGGTGTCCCGCGGTGTCCCGTTGAGTGATCATCGATAGTGAGACCGATAATGAGATCGACAAGTGTCCCGTGGTATCCCGTGAAATGAGATCGATAGTGAGATCGATTGAGTCAGATGTTGGTTCCCCCCCCTCTCCCCCCCTCACAACCTCCTTATCACCAGAAGGGTGGTCGTATAGGTATGGTTGTATGTTTGTATGTTTGTGTGTTTGTATGTTTGTATGATTGTTTGTTTGTTTGTTTGTTTGTTCGTTTGTATGTATGTATGTATGTATGTATGTATGTATGTATGTATGTATGTATGTATGTATGTATGTCTATAAACACACATATGTATACACTGGAAACCACGCGCGCGCTTCGCGCGCGCTCAGGTTCTAGCGCAGGCCAGGGAAGCGTTACAGCACAGTGGGATCATCCACAGGCGAGAACGGGGAAGGGACAGGAATGATGAGGTTGGGTGAAGGCGTCAGCCGACCCTCGCTTTTGCCCGGGGTGACAAGGCGTGTGAGACATGTGGGTGTCCCACTCTCCGTTGCCCCCCTCCCCAGGCGTCCAACATCGGATTAGAGGGGGGGGCCGGGCTCGGGGAGGGGGGTAGACGAGCTGCTCAACGCACCCCCCGGGTTTCCAGAGCCTCCAAAGAGCCTCAAAATGGCCCAAGAGAGCCCAAACAGAGCGCCACCACAGCCCAAGAGAGCATCGGATCTATCGTGAGATGCATAGTGGGAACAGCACTGAGATCGATCGTGAGACCGATTGAGTGAGATCAATAATGAGATCGATGGTGAGATCGACTGCAATTGATAGTGATATCGGTGGTCAGCTCGACAATAAGTTAAATCGTGAAATCGATCGTGAGATCGATGTAATGATTTCAACAGTGGCATCGATAGTGATGTCGATGGTGATAGGTTCTGATGTCGACAGAGGAGGTCGTAAGTGCGATCGGTAGTGTGATCGATTGAGCGAGATCGACGCTGAGATCGCTAGTTACATCGACTATGTTTTGTTGTTCCCTTGCCAAGCTTGCAGGAGGCGAGCACGCAGTTAAGCCCCTAGTAGGCACTGGCGAAACACTCAGAAGCACTTCCGTCGCACGCGTCAGGAAGAGGGACAGGGGATAAGGGAAGTCGTACTGATATGCACCTGGAAGCGCCAAGGTAAACGTACCTGTCTCTCGTGTTGCACTAACGTCTGGAATGCCGCGATACACGATGCTAAACTATAAAACGCAATGTCACTACGCTGTACGCAATGCAATAACCTGATGAATTGTATAGTGCGCATTGCATGCCATGCCATGATGTGCTATGATATGTTATGATCATACATACGATGGTACGCTGAGCCAGATCACGCGATGCTTCCTATGAAAAACGATGCTACCACGTTGCATGGTATGCACAGACACGACATACCGTGCTACACAATGCAATGCAATGCAGTGCAATGCTATGCCATGTTATGAGCTGCTAGGCTAAAATAAACAGGACGACAGGAAGAGCAACAACGGGGTGTGATGTTTGCATGATGTCTGTTTACTGTAGCGCAAAACAGTACAGTGCTGTTCGATTCATTAACGTGCATTGGAATGCCATAGAACGCCACGATGTATCATGAGATGCAATGCCATGCTAGACACTGTTACGTCGTGACGTGCAGTGCTAGGCTCAACTAGACACTGCTATGTAGTGCGACGCTATGGCATGCTGAACCATCCTGTGATGTGCACTGACACGGTTGGCTCTGTCGTGACTACCGAAATACATACTGTTAGTACCTGAAGGAGCGTGGCTGCGGAGCACTTGGGGCAATCATTGAAACTCGCGTCAAGGAACCCGCACATGCAAACCTGCAGAACAAACAATTTTCTCCTGCGGCTGAGATCGGCCCTCGCGGCACTCTGCACCACATAGCATTGCTCCTTCGAGCCCGCGGGGCGCGCGACGACAACGCGCTCCGCGACTGTCGGCTCGAAGAGCAGGAGGAGGCCAACTGGGCATCGTTTAACCGATCCCTATCCCACTGGCGTGGCATGGGCCCTGCTGGTCGATTTACCCCTTAGATGCAGATGCAAGTCAACATTCGCTGTTTCCTCCTGCCCCTTCCTCATTCCTCCTCCTCCGCTCTCATCGACCGGTCGACCGGTGATCTGTCGCCAAGCTATGGGCCAGGAAAAATGCAGCGCTACAGCGCCAAAGCATTGCTCCTCCGAACCCGCGGGGCGGAAGGCTCGAATTGTCGGTTCGTGTTCCCCCTCTTGGGCCGTCTTGGGGCTCTCTCGGGCGAACTTGGCCGCCTCGTGGGCCGTCTTTGGGCGCTCTTGGGCCGTCTTGGGGCTCTCTTGGGCCGTCTCTGGGCGATCTTGGGGCCTCTTGGGCCGTCGCGGACGCTGTTCAGACCGAAAGAGCGGATATGTTAAACATGCTAGCTTGCTCCAATGATTGCGGACGACATACCTTTCTTGGGAATTTCTGTGGGGTCTTCTTGGGACCCTCTTGGGGCGTCTTTTGGGTCTGTTAGGCGGTCTGGAATGCTTCCCTTTGGGCCCTCCTAAGCCGTCCTGCGGACCTCTTGGGGGCCTCTTGGGCTGCCTTGTGGCGATCTTGGGAGCCTCTTGGGCCGTCTTGGACTCTCGTAAGACACCAAGGGCGAATATGCTGAACAGGTACATTGTCCTCTAGAAAAGGGGCAAGTTTGAGCCTTCTGGAGCCCTCTCGTGGAACAGATTGGACCTTTCTTGGGGCGCATTGAATCTAGGGCCTTCCTCGATGGTAACGACGACGATGACGACGACGACGACGCAGACGACAGAACGTAGACGATGACGACGACGACGACGATGACGACGACGACTTTTTCATCGGCTGAGGAGGCTATGAGGTGATGAACGGAAGATGACTGCATATATGACATATATCGTTGTCTCCTACAGTTTACCTCATCATTGAAAACCCGCCGCCAGGATATGTCCTTATAGCATGTATGAGCGTGCAGGCACGGTGACCACTCGAGCGCTGAAGGCTGAGGGCGGAGGCGTGCCTCGCGACGGCGTGGTTATCCAAACATAAAATTCGCGGTTTCACTGTCGGCCCCCTCATCGGGATAACAGATAGTTTCATATGCTGCTTGGCTGGCTGACGACGACGAAAGAAAGGAGGAGGAAGTGCAGGGCGATATGTTGGAAGCTTGTGGCGTGTTGGGAGCCTCTCGGGACAACGTGCGCTTCCTGAGCTCCGCTTCGGCCTTCCCCGGGCCGTCGAAGAAGCGCCGCGGGACACCTTTATCCTTGAACCGTACTGGGCCTCTCTTGGGGCTTTCGGGGGCCTTTGGATATCAGTGTGTCCAATTGGACTCGGCCATCTTGAGCTTCCCTTGGCGCCCCAGTGACCCCAAGGGCGCCCTCGTGGCCCCCAAGGTGGCTCCGTGGGCGCACAAACGGTACACACATCGGCACGACAATCTACCAGATCCGTCCACCACACCCCGAGAGCGCCGAAGATGCCTTGTGAACGGCCTCCGAAGGCTTCCAGCCTGCGCCAGGCCGGTCCCAGGAAGGTTTCAGTGGGCTCCCGAGCCCGAGAGGTAAAAATCTGTAAGTCCCTTGGGAGTTTCATTTCTGGGGGGGTCTGGAGACAGATGCGGTCGTCTGGCAGTGATTTTCCGGCGACTCGGGCGCAACTCGGTGCCCTGTTGGGCTATCCTGGAAGTGTTTTGGAGCGGCTTTGGAACCTTTTGAATGCTCTGGGCGCGCCTGGGCGAAGCTCCTGAAACCGTCTTGACGCGGGTGGTGGTGCTTGTGGGGCGGGGTTGGAGCGCCGGCAAGCCGAACAGGCGGAAGAAGACTCCCAAAGCATCAAGACCCGACGGACAAATTATGATTCATGATTGTTGCTTCTTGTGGCCCGCTTTAGGGGCCGCCTCGCACTGGAATCGACGATGCACCGCCGATGCGTCGGCGACAGGCACCCGACAGCGAATCCGCACGTCCCCGAGCGGGGTGGGCTCTCGGGCCCTCATCGGCGATGGAGGAGGAGGAGGAGGAGGAGGAGGAGGAGGAGGAGGAGGAGGCGGAGGAGGAGGAGGGGGAGGAGGAGGAGGAGGGGGAGGAGGAGGAGGAGGAGGAGGAGGAGGAGGAGGAGGGCTTGCTTGAATCGTCTGGGGCGCGGCTGGGTCGTCCGGGAGCCTTCCTGGAGCGCCTCGGGAGCGCGGTGGGCAATGTGGGGGCGACCGCGGGCCTGCGGGCGTGATCTTGTCTGGCGCCCCGGAGGCGCCCCCTGAAGCTGCGTGGGCGCGCGAGAGGAATGAACCCGCCGCTGCTTGGGCGAAGCCAAGACCAATGATTCTCCCCCGTCCGTCCGTCCGTCCGTCCGTCCGGCGGCGTCCCGCGGCGTCCCGCGGTGCCCCGCGGTGTCCCGTGGTGTCCGCCGCTGCCAGGGCGAAGTCAAGACAAATGACTCTCCCCCGTCCGTCCGTCCGTCTGGCGGTGTCCCGCGGTGCCCCGAGGTGTCCCGTGGTGTCCGCCGTTGCTGGAGCGAAATCAAGACAAATGATTCTCCCCCGTCCGTCCGTCCTGCGGTGGCTCGCGGTGTCCCACCGTGGTGCCTCGTTGAGTGAGATTGATAGTGAGATTGATAGTGAGATCCATAGTGAGATCGATAGTGAGATCGATACTGAAATCGATGTGGTGCCCCGAGGTGTCCCGTGGTGTCCCAAAAAGTGAGATCAATAGTGTAGTCGATGGTGAGATCGATACTCAGATCGATGTGGT